TCATAATAAATTATCATAATAATCATGTTTGTCATAGTAAATTATATTTGTTGTATATATTTATATTGTATACATATACATGTATGTAGTATGTGTATGTTTCATTTCACTGCATGTATGTAGTATGTAGTATGAAACATATATGTAGTATGTGCTATTTATTAATTATGCGTATAGACGTCATATACGTTGTATATATTTTTTATAAATTATATCTGCTATATATGATCTTTGTGAAACACATATGTTACTGATGAACTATATATATCATATACATTATGTACGTTATATAAATTATGTAGTTTGTTCATGGATTACATATACTATATGCATTATTTATAAATTAAATATGTTGTATACGTTCTTTGTAAATTACATACTTTGTACACACATTACAAATATATATGTATGTAATGCATATATATTCTACCAATTTATTAACTATGTCAATGACGTATCTTCATCTTACCGATATCATGACATACTAAAACCTAACTGCATAAAATATTGTATCTGTTTTAAACCGTAATATACCACGTTATCTTTCATTTCTTACTTGTTTATAGATCATGAAAGAGGTTGCAAGAACTTCGGAAGCTATTTTAAAAATTTACGTTTACAGTATACACGAAGTATTGATATTTTAAACAGTACGCTTTAATGCTCTTTTACGCGGAACACTCCCCGAAGGAAAGATATGCAATTCCATTTAAAATAAAATGCACCTGCATTTTTTGAGTGTACTGTTGCGTTCACAAAGTCGTATTAACCTTTTTATACCACTCTTCTGTTTTTTACTAAATTTAAAATGTAATTCACTTCAGTAAAGTATAAAAGATGATACACTGATTAACTGGTCTATTTTCTTCTATTTTCTATTTTCCTTTCTATTTTCACTTTCAAGTGAAAATAGAAAAAGTTGTGTGGTATATTTTAACTTTCTACGACATTTTTTATAAAGCTGCACAGGTTAGGTGCAACTGCATTTTTTTCTGTAATGCAATAATTTTTTTGTTAATCGATCTATTTTATTATTCTAGATATAAAAGTCAAGATCATCAACGTGGCAATACTTCACTATTTGACATTCTACGTCAAATTCGCATTTTACTTTACTTTGTTGCGTATGATCCAGTCCGAACACTTCAGTTTTTCAATTTTTTCATTACAAGTTTTAATTGATTCGAGCAATGAATTTTATGCTCTGTTAAATCATCCAGCAAAAGAACCAAAATTTTACCTTTTAGATCAAATTTGTATTTAACGAAGATTTTCTGCGAATATCGTACTTCATAAGCTGACGTATCTTGCTCATATTTTAATTTTAATCTTTGCCAAGACGAGTGTGAGGAATATAGTGCACGATTTAAATTGCTATCGTTAAAAAAAATAGGAATAGGATGGTTCGATAACCATCATGTAACGAAAAATGTAAAAAATGTGTTCGAAAATAGAGTGGAACAATGGAATTTTCGTGCAGTTTCGTATTAAAGTACGTTTCGAACATGAAATGGCAGATATGTGGCATATTGACATTTTTATGAAGTTGCTAGTTTATATGCTGGATAACAAAAGAGATCGAGTGGATTAACAAGAAAACTAGGTTGCATTAAGTATGTAGTATGAAACATATATGTAGTATGTGCTATTTATTAATTATGCGTATAGACGTCATATACGTTGTATATATTTTTTATAAATTATATCTGCTATATATGATCTTTGTGAAACACATATGTTACTGATGAACTATATATATCATATACATTATGTACGTTATATAAATTATGTAGTTTGTTCATGGATTACATATACTATATGCATTATTTATAAATTAAATATGTTGTATACGTTCTTTGTAAATTACATACTTTGTACACACATTACAAATATATATGTATGTAATGCATATATATTCTACCAATTTATTAACTATGTCAATGACGTATCTTCATCTTACCGATATCATGACATACTAAAACCTAACTGCATAAAATATTGTATCTGTTTTAAACCGTAATATACCACGTTATCTTTCATTTCTTACTTGTTTATAGATCATGAAAGAGGTTGCAAGAACTTCGGAAGCTATTTTAAAAATTTACGTTTACAGTATACACGAAGTATTGATATTTTAAACAGTACGCTTTAATGCTCTTTTACGCGGAACACTCCCCGAAGGAAAGATATGCAATTCCATTTAAAATAAAATGCACCTGCATTTTTTGAGTGTACTGTTGCGTTCACAAAGTCGTATTAACCTTTTTATACCACTCTTCTGTTTTTTACTAAATTTAAAATGTAATTCACTTCAGTAAAGTATAAAAGATGATACACTGATTAACTGGTCTATTTTCTTCTATTTTCTATTTTCCTTTCTATTTTCACTTTCAAGTGAAAATAGAAAAAGTTGTGTGGTATATTTTAACTTTCTACGACATTTTTTATAAAGCTGCACAGGTTAGGTGCAACTGCATTTTTTTCTGTAATGCAATAATTTTTTTGTTAATCGATCTATTTTATTATTCTAGATATAAAAGTCAAGATCATCAACGTGGCAATACTTCACTATTTGACATTCTACGTCAAATTCGCATTTTACTTTACTTTGTTGCGTATGATCCAGTCCGAACACTTCAGTTTTTCAATTTTTTCATTACAAGTTTTAATTGATTCGAGCAATGAATTTTATGCTCTGTTAAATCATCCAGCAAAAGAACCAAAATTTTACCTTTTAGATCAAATTTGTATTTAACGAAGATTTTCTGCGAATATCGTACTTCATAAGCTGACGTATCTTGCTCATATTTTAATTTTAATCTTTGCCAAGACGAGTGTGAGGAATATAGTGCACGATTTAAATTGCTATCGTTAAAAAAAATAGGAATAGGATGGTTCGATAACCATCATGTAACGAAAAATGTAAAAAATGTGTTCGAAAATAGAGTGGAACAATGGAATTTTCGTGCAGTTTCGTATTAAAGTACGTTTCGAACATGAAATGGCAGATATGTGGCATATTGACATTTTTATGAAGTTGCTAGTTTATATGCTGGATAACAAAAGAGATCGAGTGGATTAACAAGAAAACTAGGTTGCATTAAAAAATAAAGCGCAGTTGCATTTAACGGGCACTGATGTATCCACATAAAAGATAAGGTCATAGGAAGTTAGGACTACACCACATTTTCTCTATTTTTATGTAGAAAACCCCTGTTCTTAAAATCACCCTTACACTTCTAAAACAACCCCCATACACGTCAATTTTTAAAACCTTGCACAATTGTCCATTACTGTATTGTTATACAGTACAAATATAATGTTATACAGTCATATTTAAAATTGTTATATACTTGTCCAATATAAAGAGTATATCTAAAGTCCGACTCCACCCTTATAATTCAAAAATAGCTTTAAATATGGAAAAATGTTTCAGACGAAAGTTGCAGAATATCAAGGGAACATGGTGGCAAAATTCGACTTTGGATGGACGTTCGAAGGTCAAGCATCTTCAGTGTCTTAAATAGAACTCCCATTTTTTATTGCATATTGTAGCCTTCGGATTTTCAAAACTATGTTTTTTTGTGCAAGTCATTTCCAAGATATGAAGTTTCAAGGTTGACAGATAGGTGGCGTAAATCTAATCGTGCAACCGCGGTGCACTTAGGGTAATGTGAATGCGATATGTCAACTTTGAAACTTCATACCTTGGAAATGACTTACACAAAAAACGTAGGTAGTGTCTTGAAACGGGGGCTACAATATACAATTAAAAGGGAGTTCTATTTAAAAAACTGAAGATAGGTAAGGTCAAATTGCTGCCATATTATGTTATGCACTTCTTGATGTCCTACAACTTTTGTCTGAAGTATTTTTCAATACAGGGTGTCTCACAATTAGTGTAGGTCCTTGAAATGGAGAATAGCTGACGTGATTCTGAATAAGATTTCCCTTTGCGAAAATAGGGTTCGAAGCTTCGTTTCTGAATTATTAAGGAAAAACACGGACCAATCAGAGCGCGAGGATTATTACGCGTTGGATTACTACGCATTGGTTAATTATACATTAGATTACCACGCGTTAGATTCTTACGCTTAGAATTACCACGCGTTGCATTACTACGCGTTGGACTATTGCGCGTTGCATTACTACGCGTTGGACTACTGGCCGTTGAATATCCACGCGCTGGATTACTACGCGTTGGATATCCACACGCTAGATTACAACGCGTTATCCGAAGCTGCTGTTCTCGCGTCTGCGCATGCGTAATCCTCGCGCTAATTGGTCCGTGTTTTTCCTTAATAATTCA